GTGGTGAGTGTGCTAGTAGTGAGTGTACCAGTGGTGAGTGTACTAGTGGTGAGTGTGGTAGTGGTGAGTGTAGTGGTGAGTGTACCAGTGGTGAGTTTACCATTGGTGAGTGTACTAGTGGTGAGTGTACTAGTGGTTAGTGTACTAGTGGTGAGTGTACTAGTGCTTAGTGTACTAGTGGTGAGTGTACCAGTGATTAGTGTGCTAGTGGTGAGTGTACTAGTGATGAGTGTAACGGTGAGTGTATTCGTGGTGAGTTTACCATTGGTGAGTGTATTAGTGGTGAGTGTACTAGTGCTTAGTGTACTAGTGATGAGTTTACTAGTGGTGAGTGTGCTAGTGGTGAGTGTGCCAGTGGTGAGTATACCAGTGGTGAGTGTAGTGATGATTGTACTAGTGGTGAGTGTATTGGTGAGTGTGCTAGGGGTGAGTGTGCTAGTAGTGAGTGTACCAGTGGTGAGTGTACTAGTGGTGAGTGTGGTAGTGGTGAGTGTACTAGTGGTGAGTGTGCTAGTGGTGAGTGTACCCGTGGTGAGTGTACTAGTGGTGAGTGTGGTAGTGGTGAGTGTACTAGTGGTGAGTGTACTAGTGGTGAGTGTACCCGTGGTGAGTGTACTAGTGGTGAGTATGGTAGTGGTGAGTGTACTAGTGGTGAGTGTACTAGTGGTGAGTGTGCTAGTGGTGAGTGTACTAGTGGTGAGTGTGGTAGTGGTGAGTGTACTAGTGGTGAGTGTACTAGTGGTGAGTGTGGTAGTGGTGAGTGTACCAGTGGTGAGTGTGGTAGTGGTGAGTGTACTAGTGGTGAGTGTATTAGTGGTGAGTGTGGTAGTGGTGAGTGTGCTAGTGGTGAGTGTACTTGTGGTGAGTGTGCTAGTGGTGAGTGTACCAGTGGTGAGTGTACTAGTGGTGAGTGTGGTAGTGGTGTCTATTTGTCTGCGTTTCTCCCTGTGATGGGACTTTTTATGGATGAACTTTGAAATTTATATGGGCCACGGGGTCACCAATACGGCCTGAATTGGTCTGTAATGAGGTAGGGCACTGATAAGGGTTTGACGGCTATGGTAGTGTCGGGAAAGATATGTGAGAGTGAGAGAGATTGGGTTAATGAGTGGCTGGGTCTGAGACGGTGGTTGATGTGAGTGTGTGAATGAGAGATTGGGTGGGTGAGTGAGTTGTTGAGTGGGTGGCTGGGTATGAGAGGGTGGTTGATGTGAATGTGTGATGAGATAATGGGTGGGTGAGTGAGTCGGTGAGTGAGTGGCTGGGTGTGAGAGAGGGTGGTTGCTGTGAGTGTGTGAATGAGATAATGGGTGGGTGAGTGAGTAGGTGAGTGAGTGGCTGGGTGTAAGAAAGGGTGGTTGATGTGTGTGTGTGAAGGAGAGAATGGGTGGGTGAGTGAGTTGGTGAGGAGGTGAGTGGCTGGGTGTGAGAGAGGGTGGTTGATGTGAGTGTGTGAATGAGATAATGGGTGGATGAGTGAGTAGGTGAGTGGGTTGGCTGGGTGTGAGAGGGTGGTTGAGGTGAGTGTGTGAATGAGATAATGGGTGAGTGAGTAGGTGAGTTGGTGAGTGAGTGGCTGGGTGTGAGAGAGGGTGGTTTATGTGAGTGTGTGAAGGAGAGAATGGGTGAGTGAGTAGGTGAGTGAGTGGCTGGGTGTAAGAGAGGGTGGTTGATGTGAGTGTGGGATGAGATAATGGGTGGGTGAGTGAGTTGGTGAGTAGGTGGCTGGGTGTGGGAGGGTGGTTGAGGTGCGTGTGTGAAGGAGAGAATGGGTGGGTGAGTGAGTAGGTGAGTGGGTGGCTGGGTGTGAGAGTGTGGTTGAGGTGCGTGTGTGAAGGAGAGAATGGGTGGGTGAGTGAGTAGGTGAGTGAGTGGCTGGGTGTGGGAGGGTGGTTGATGTGAGTGTGGGATGAGATAATGGGTGGGTGAGTGAGTTGGTGAGTAGGTGGCTGGGTGTGGGAGGGTGGTTGAGGTGCGTGTGTGAAGGAGAGGATGGGTGGCTGAGTGAGTAGGTGAGTGGGTGGCTGGGTCTGAGAGGGTGGTTGAGGTGCGTTTGTGAAGGAGAGAATGGGTGGGTGAGTAGGTGAGTGAGTGGCTGGGTGTGAGAGAGGGTGGTTGAAGTGAGTGTGTGAATGAGATAATGGGTGGGTGAGTGGCTGGGTGTAAGAGAGGGTGGTTGATGTGAGTGTGTGAATTAGATAATGGGTGGGTGAGTGAGTGGCTGGGTGTAAGAGAGGGTGGTTGATGTGAGTGTGGGATGAGATAATGGGTGGTGAGTGAGTAGGTGAGTGGGTGGCTGGGTGTGAGAGAGGGTGGTTGAGGTGAGTGTAAAGGAGAGAATGGGTGGGTGAGTGAGTGGGTGGCTGGGTGTGAGAGAGGGTGGTTGAGGTGAGTGTGAAGGAGATAATGGGTGGGTGAGTGAGTTGGTGAGTAGGTGGCTGGGTGTGAGAGGGTGGTTGAGGTGAGTGTGTGAAGGAGAGAATGGGTGGGTGAGTGAGTCGGTGAGTGGGTGACTGGGTGTAAGAGAGGGTGGTTGATGTGAATGTGTGATGAGATAATGGGTGGGTGAATGAGTTGCTGGGTCTGAGACGGTGTTTGATGTGAGTGTGTGAATGAGATAATGGGTGGGTGAGTGAGTAGGTGAGTGGGTGGCTGGGTGTGAGAGAGTGGTTGATGTGCGTGTGTGAAGGAGAGAGTGGGTGCGTCAGTGAGTGAGTGGGTGGATCAGTGAGTGGGTGAGTACAGTAGGTGAGTGAGTGTGAGAGGGTGGTTGAGGTGAGTGGGTGGGTGAGTGCACGCTGCGCTTCCCAGCGACCCGAGTTCGATTCCCGCGCATGGCTAACACCACGATGACAATTATCTGAACCGGTCCTAGGCCTCCCCTAGGTCGACTCGGCATAAAATGAGTACCTGGTGCGGTGTGTAAAAAAACATCGCCACTGGGGAGACAAAGACGTCCGTGCGTGGTGCTGGACACCCACCCCATCGTGTGCCGTTCCATCCTTCAAAGGTGCTCGCTAACAGCACTTTCCCCAACAGTCTGTTAAGGCAATACGGGGGATCTTGGTCTTTGTGGGTGGGCGAGTGAGTTGTGTGAGAGGGTGATTGAGTTGGGTGAGTGCGAGTGTATGAATGAGTGCGTGAGTGAATGAGTGCGTGAATGTTTGAATTAGTGCGTGAGTGTGTGAGTGTATGAGTGCGTGAGTGAATGAGTGCGAGTGTATGAATGAGTGCATGAGTGAATGAGTGCGTGAGTGTATGAGTGCGTGGGTGTATGAGTGCGTGAGTGAGTGAGTGCATGAGTGAATGAGTGCGTGAGTGTATGAGTGAGTGAATGAGTGCGTGAGTGAATGACTGCGTGAGTGTATGAGTGCGTGAGTGAATGAGTGCGTGAGTGTATGAGTGCATGAGTGAATGAGTGCGTGAGTGTATGAGTGAGTGAGTGTATGAGTGCGTGAGTGTATGAGTGCGTGAGTGAATGAGTGCGTGAGTGAATGAGTGCATGAGTGCGTGAATGAGTGAGTGAATGAGTGCGTGAGTGTATGAGTGCGTGAGTGAATGAGTGCGTGAGTGAATGAGTGCGTGAGTGTATGAGTGAGTGAATGAGTGCGTGAGTGAATGAGTGCGTGAGTGAATGAGTGCGTGAGTGTATGAGTGAGTGAATGAGTGCGTGCGTTAATGAGTGCGTGAGTGTATGAGTGAGTGAATGAGTGCGTGAGTGAATGAGTGCGTGAGTGAATGAGTGCGTGAGTGTATGAGTGAGTGAATGAGTGCGTGAGTGAATGAGTGCGTGAGTGAATGAGTGCGAGTGTGTGAATGAGTGCGTGAGTGTATGAGTGCGCGAATGTATGAATGAGTGTGTGAGTGTATGAATGAGTGCGTGAGTGTATGAATGAGTGCGTGAGTATGAATGAGTGCATGAATGAGTGCGTGAGTGTATGAATGAGTGCATGAATGAGTGCATGAATGAGTGCGTGAGTGTACGATTGAGTGTGTGAGTGCTTCAAAGTTTTGGAAGAAGTGAGTGGCTGGCTGAGGTGCCCATCTGTTGGGGAAGGAAAGCGTCGTGGGGCAAAGAGAATCTCCCAAGCGAACTGCCGAGGGAAGGAGGGTGGTGTTTGTCTGCAGACTGCCCTACATGACATCATTACCTACTTTCCTTTTATTTGGTTCTTTCGGTAAGGTCACGTAGAATGCGAATAAAATAATAAAATAACACGATACAATTCTCACGACGTTTCGGCCACAACGCAAACGGCCGTCTTCGAAACGTGAATCTAACCCCCCCCAAAAAAACCTTTATTATGAATGCTTATTGCGGTTGGAGGCTTTGCTGCGGAAAACAATTTTGCGTGTTTTAGCTGTTGTCCTTCATGATACGGTTTTATTTTTTTTGGCTTATATCGTGTAGACATGTAAACGCTGTGTCGTTAAACCCGCCACCACCCGACACAGCCTAATTGGTAAAGGTTTCGCCACGTAAACAGAACGCTCGCAAATCGTTGCGAGTGCAGACGCACCGGTGCAGCGGGTGGTCACGGCACATTTATGTTTACGTGATCTTAGCCGAATACAGGTGGGGCCTTAGGGGCCGTCCGTGAATGACGTCACGCACCTAGGGGGGGGGCGGGCGGGCGGGCGGGCGGGGGGGGGCGTCAGACATTTGTGACGATGTGTCGGGAGGGGGGGGGGTGGGGTTTGAGAAATGTGACGTCACATCAAAGTGCGCAAACTTTTAAATGAATACAGACAAGGCGTTCTACTTAATTAAATAAGACTTTTTAATCAAATGTTTTCTACCTACAACATCAGAGCGCGGCGCCACATTAAATACGCACTACGATGACAATAGTTTAATGCGATTTGAAGCATTTTTTTAAATATTTTTTTGGGGGGGGAGGGGGGGCAGAGCTTTGTGACGTCATATTTGAGGGGGGGGGGGGGGGGGGTCTGACTTGTTGTGCAGCAAAAACCGTCCAAAATCGCGTGACGTCATTTATGGACGGCCCCTTACCATCAGGCCCACCAAAACTAAACACCTGCCCGGGTATTCTGTACCGTCGAAGACTCCACCCCCTCAAAGCCCCCCCATGAGTGATGGGCCAGTTGTGGAGAGGGTGCAAAAGTGTCCGTACTTGGGCAGTGCGTGCTCGTGGCCAGCTCCGGTTTGGCAGCAGAGGTCTCGCTCCAAATCCAGTCGAGCTGCCATTATTATCCTTTTTTGTCAGCTGCGTAACGTCCAGTCGAAGCTGCCGTGTCTATCGCTCCACACCAAGCTTCGGGTCTTCTAGGCCACAGTCACGCCATCCCTTCTGTGCTTTTGAAACGCGCACCCCATCTGAAGGAACATCAGGCTTGCCCCGCCTACGATCCATCCTGGGTTTGACCAGGACGGAGTTCACAAATCCCTGAAAGATCCGGACACATTGCCATCGGTGAGCTCCTCTGGCAGGCTGGGCCATGTAGGCCGCATGCCCAAGCAGATTCTGTTTGGCCGGATCAAAGGGGTTAAATGGGCACGGCACGGGCTAGAGAAGGAATGGGGCTGATGCGGTTTAGGAAGATGTGCTGCTGAGCATACTTGCCGATGACAGGAGAAAGGTCGTGAAGGATGCTGCTGGGCAGTTGGAGGCAGGTTCCCTCCAGCAACAACAGCAGAGGGCAGTGGAGCGATGCTCACAAGAGCAACGGGGAGCGCCTGTCGGATAAAACGCAGCCGGTTGGAACAGCAGCGGCACACGTGGTGCATCTGCCGGTCATCTCAGTCGACCCATGGCACCTGCGTCTGTTCCATGACCTCCTGCCAGTAGAGAGTCTTCCACACTTCACGTGGCCTCAAAGTGCAAGTGCGTTGGTGACATCACCGCCACTTGAATGGCGGTTATTGTTGTTTGAGTGAATGTACGAGTGAGTGAGTGAGTGTATCAGTAAGTGAGTGTGGTCATCGCTATGCAGGTCACCATGGACGGGCACCGCAATGGGATGAAAGGAGGAGGCAGAGGGGAAATGGTCATGAGGAGGTGAGACCAGACTCGCACAGAGACTCGCGCAGACCCACAGACTCACACAGAGACAGACTCTCTGATAATGACGATTCCGATGATGATGATGATGACACTGATGATAATGATGAGGATAATGCCACTGCTGCTGATGATGATATTGCTGATGATGATGATGGTGGTGATGAATGACACTCAATGATGCTTCTGATGATGCAGCTGTTGGCGCTGATGATGATGCTGCTGATGATGATGATGCTCATGATGATGATGCTGATGCTGCTGATGATGATGCTGCTGCTGATGCTGCTGCTGCTGATGCTGCTGCTGATGATGCTGCTGCTGATGATGACGGCGACGTTGGCGTGCTCGCCCCGCGCAGTGCCCACGTCTCCGTGGACCTCGCCGCCGACCTCACCACGCCGCTGCTGCCGCCGCCGCCGTCCTCCGACCCCACGGCCCTCGCCCCCCACCACGGCGCTCCCGGGGGGCCTCCGCCCTCTCCGCCCCCCCCGGCCCCCGGCGGGCCCCCCCTACTCCCCGCGGCGGGGACGGGGGACCCCGCCTCCGCCCCGCCGCCGCCGCCGCCGCCGCCCCCCGAGTGGGGAAAGACGGCGGCCGCGTTTGTCTACGCGGTCTCCGCGCTGGTGGCGACCAGCGTGGCCATTGCCGTGGTGCACGAACGCGTGCCGGACATGGTGCGGCGTGCACCGAGCCTGGCACCGCACCGCACGCACTCGCGCTCGCTCACGCGCGTGCCGGACATGTCGGGGCATGCACCTAACCTGGCGCAGAGAGACGGATCCGTGCAGATTAGCGCAGGCGAATGCAGGATAACGCAGGGAACCTACGCCTGTAGGCTTGCGTATATGCTGGACACCAGGGCCCCACCATGGATCTGAACTGCCCACTGACCATTGACTGCAATGGTGGTGGTGGTGGTGGTGGGCGTCCACCTGGGACCCCACTCAAACCCACAGTGGCCTGGTCTCAACTCGCTGCTGATGGAAGGAGGTTGCAAGCGAGAATCTCTCGAACGCTTGCAGCTGGGGTTGGCATCTCTCCCCCACTCCTCCTCCTCCTCCTGATGCCGAGGGGAAATGTGCGAGGTTCAGGACTGCGACTCATACAGCTTATAGGGTTAATGATGCAAATTGGAGAGGTTCAGGACTGCGACTCATGCAGCTGATAGTGGTGATGATGCAAATTGGTGAGGTTCAGGACTGTGACTCATGCAGCTGATAGTGGTGCTGATGCAAATTGGTGAGGTTCAGGACTGCGACTCATGCAGCTGATTGTGGTGATGATGCAAATTTGTGAGGTTCAGGACTGCGACTCATGCAGCTGATTGTGGTGATGATGCACATTGGTGAGGTTCAGGACTGCGACTCATGCAGCTGATTGTGGTGATGATGCACATTGGTGAGGTTCAGGACTGCGACTCATGCAGCTGATTGTGGTGATGATGCACATTGGTGAGGTTCAGGACTGCGACTCATGCAGCTGATTGTGGTGATGATGCACATTGGTGAGGTTCAGGACTGCGACTCATGCAGCTGATAGTGGTGATGATGCAAATTGGTGAGGTTCAGGACTGCGACTCATGCAGCTAATGAAACCCGATTCCAGAACTCCAGTTTTGTTGTTGTTGATGAAACCCGATTCCAGAGCTCCTTCAGTTTATTTTGAACGACCCTGCGGGCCAAGAAGCTCTTTTAAGTCAAGTTCCATCAAACAACAACAACAACAACCGCCGCTTCTCCGACAAACGCAAAAACAAATCGATAAAGCAAACAGTAACAGGCGAGAGAAATGAAACGCAAGATAGCTCGCAAATAAATAATCGCGAAATATTTTTTTTTACTAAAGAAAGAAATGCAGTTAAATGTAGATTATCATCAAACACATCTTGACTTAAAGCTTTCGTGACTGCAGGAGTTAATATTCTTTGGGTCTTTCGATAAAGCCACATAGATAGAAACATATTTTTTTTTTAAAAACGATATACTGTATTCCTGCCCCAGCAGCTCTCCCGTTATATTTTCCACCTGATGACGATTGCTTGTGTTGCGACCGAAAACGTCGTGATATTGTTATTACATCATCATCAAACACCGCGCTCTCTCTCCGAAAAAGAACACTAACTTAAATCTGCCATAGTAATCATGATGCAGATACAGCCTCTAACACGATGGCGGTGCCCTTGAACATGAAGTGAACCCTCTCGCCCTCAGGAGGTGTCTCCTCCGCTGCCTGACGTATTCTTTGACCGCATTTCCCGTGTGGAGTGGGCCTTCTCCGTGTGCGAGATCAACGGCGTCATCCTCGTCTCCATGTGGTTCACACAGTGGGCCTGCCTCACCCACAGGTACAGCTCACTCACAAGGTGCACTCTATAGACTATAGACTACACTATACTATACACTACACTATACACTACACTATCACTACACTATACACTACACTATACACTATAGACTACACACAGTGGGCCTGCCTCACCCACAGGTACAGCTCACTCACAAGGTGCACTCTATAGACTATAGACTACACTATACTATACACTACACTATACACTACACTATACACTACACTACTACACTACACTATAGACTACACTATAGACTACACTATACATTACACTATACACTACACTATACACTACACTATACACTAGACTATACACTACACTATAGACTACACTATACACTACACTATACACTACACTATAGACGACACTATACACTACACTATACACTACACTATAGACTATACACTACACTATACACTACACTACTACACTACACTACTACACTATAGACTACACTATACACTACACTATACACTACACTATAGACTACACTATAGACTCCACTATACACTACACTATACACTACACTATACACTACACTACTACACTATACTATAGACTACACTATAGACTACACTATACTCTACACTATACACTACACTATAGACTACACTATACTATACACTACACTATACACTACACTATACACTACACTATAGACTACACTATAGACGACACTATACACTACACTATAGACTACACTATAGACTACACTATACACTACACTCTAGACTACACTATGCACTGCACTATAGACTACTCTATCACTGGGAAATGCCTGTGTGTGTTCATGTGGGGAGCTGTAAAGTAGTGGTGTGCACCGCTCTACCAACCCAGCAGAGTCCCAAGTTCGTGTCCCTGCCAAGGCCACCAACAGCAGTGTCGTGGGCCTCCCCTAGGTCGACTCAGCGTCAAATGAGTACCTGGAGTGGCGCGGTGTGCAGTAAACATGACCACTCGCCAGACAAAAGCGGCCAGGCGTGGTGCTGGCCACCCATAGTTCCATAGTTCCATAGTTTCATTTATTTGGTATAGCCCTGTGAGCCATTCGGCTCTTGAATTGGGCGCAACCACAACAAACAAAAATCAAAAACATGAACAATAAAACATCTTAAAGTGACTTTGTGACAGTGCAAACAGAAAATCCAGGAAAAAAACATCAAAATATTCCTGAAATAGCACCGTACACCAACGCTGTGTGCAAAAATCCCAGTGGGATGCAAGACAACAACAACAACCACAAGACAACTACGATTAAGGCCATCAGTCTAACTCCGTACTACAATAAACAAAAACATGGCCAAAACACAAAAAAAACGGTTTCGAAATCACCTAAATAAAGCCATAAATGCAATGTAACAGTGATCATAGGGACTGTGACCGAATTTTTAACCATAAACTACATAAATTATAACACCAAAACCCCCTCCTGTACCATTCCGGCCTTCATAGGTGCTACTCACTAACAACACTTGCCCCGACAGTCGGTGAGGCTATACGGGGGAGCTTTGTCTTTGTGTCTCCGCGTGTGCTTGAGGTCTATTATTGGGCGCCGCTATTTCTTCATCATCGGCACCCTCTACCTGTACCGCTGCATCACCATGTACATCACCACACTACCCGTGCCTGGAAGCCACTTCCACTGTAGCCCAAAGGTGTGTCGCTCACCTCACCACTCACCCACACCCTCACCCGTTGACACACTCACCCAACCACTCACTCACCCAACCACTCACTCACCCACCCACTTACTCACCGACCCACTCACATCCTCACTCACCCACTCACACCCTCACTCACCCATTCACTCATACACTTACTCACTCGTGCTCATTTACCCACTCACTCACCCATTCACACGCTCAGTCACCCACACACTCACACGCTCAGTCACCCACACACTCACACACTAACCCACTCACACATTCACACACTAACCCACCCACTCACTCACCCACCCACTTACTTACCCACCCACTCACCCTCATTTACCCACTCACTCACACACTAACCCACTCACTCAGCCATTCACGCACTCACCCACGCACTCACTCACCCACCCACTTACTCACCCACCCACCCACTCACTCACCCACCCACTCACTCACGCACTCACTCATACATTTACTCACTCACTCGTACTCACCCACTCACTCACCCATTCACACGCTCACTCGCTCACCCATCCACTCACTCACACATTCTCTCACCCACTCACACATTCCCTCACCCACTCATACACGAACTCACTCACTCACTTACCCATTGACTCACACAGTTACTTACCCACTCACTGACCCACACACTCACCCATTCACGAGCTCACTCACTGGATCAGTGAGTTTACGAATATATGATTGAGTAAGTGTATGAATGAGTGGCTGGGTGAGTGAGTAAGTGAGTGAGTGGCTGAGTGTCTGGGTCAGTGAGTGGGTGAGTAGCTGGGTGAGTGGGTGAGTGAGTGCCTAAATGGCTGGGTGAGCGGGTGAGTGAATGACTGAGTGGCTGAGTGAGAGAGTGAATGAGTGAGTGAGTGGCTGGTTGAGTGAGTGGCTGGGTGAGTGCGTGACTGAGCGGCTGGGAGAGTGAGTGACTGCATGGCTGGGTGAGCGGTTGAGCGCGTGAGTGAGTGGCTGAGTGAGTGAGTGGGTGAATGAGTGACTGAGTGGCTGGGTGAGTGAGTGACTGAGTGGCTGGGTGAGTGAGTGACTGAGTGGCTGAGTGAGTGAGTGGGTGAGTCAGTCAGTGACTGAGTGGCTGGGTGAGTGAGTGACTGAGTGGCTGGTGAGTGATTGACTAAATAGCTGGGGGAGCGGCTGAGTGTGTGACTGAGTGGCTGAGTGAGTGAGAGAGTGAGTGAGTGGCTGGTTGAGTGAGTGGCTGAGTGAGTGGCTGAGTGAGTGAGTGACTGAGTGGCTGGGTGAGTGACTGAGTGGCTGGGTGAGTGAGTGACTGAGTGGCTGGGTGAGCGGGTGACTGAGCGACGTGCCAACCCTCGCACTGCAAGGTCCTGGGCGACGTGGAGCTGCAGATGAGGAGAGTAATGAAGCTGATTGCGGGCGGCGGACTCAGCCTGACGGGGTCGCACACGCTGTGCGGCGACTACCTCTACAGCGGTCACACCGTGGTGCTCACCCTCACCTGCCTCTTCGCTCAGGAGTGTGAGTCACTCCGATAGATACACGCACGCTCGCTCACTCACGCTTGCATAACAAAGACTCCCCCCTCCTCCCCCCCCCCCAACCAGTATAGCCTTAACAGACTTAGTAGAGGGTTTTTTTGGGGTTCGTTCGTGTAAATATGTAAATGTTGTGTCGTTAAAACCCGCCACCACCCAACACAGCCAACTAGTAAGGGGTTGTCACGTAAACAGAACGTGGCCAATTCGTCACTTGCACAGCATTAGTGTGTAGTGTAGTATATAGTGTAGTGTATAGTAGTGTATAGTGTAGTGTATAGTAGTGTGCAGTGTATAGTAGTGTATAGTGTAGTGTATAGTAGTGTATAGTAATGTATAGTGTAGTGTATGGTATAGTGTACAGTAGTGTGTAGTGTAGTGTATAGTGTAGTGTATAGTGCAGTATATAGTGTAGTGTATAGTAGTATATAGTGTAGTGTATAGTAGTGTAGTGTATAGTGTAGTGTAGTGTACAGTAGTGTATTGTGTATAGTGTGTAGTGTATAGTGTAGTGTAAAGTGTAGTCTATAGTGTAAAGTATAGTGTAGTAGTATAGTGTATAGTGTAGTGTATAGTAGTGTAGTGTATAATAGTGTATTGTATAATAGTGTAGTGTATAATAGTGTAGTGTATTAGTACAGCACCACCGGTTGTGTGTTGGAGAGCCAAGCCACAACAATTACAATCTGAGTAACGACGTTTCGCCAGTAATCACAACCAGCTTCATCAGGCGACAGCCAGATGTGTGGAGAAGTCCCCCTGTTTCGTTCCTTATACAGAGGCGTAGACGTGGTGACCACGCTTCTGCGCTCTTGCGCGAAGTGGGGAGGTGGGCACAAGTGCTGTTTGCGAGCACCTACTTACATATACAAAGACAAAGATCCCCCATATAGCCTTAACAGACTGTAGGGGCAAGTGCTGTTAGCGAGCACCTATGAAGGCCGGAACGGTACACGAGGGGGTGGGTGGCAAGCACCACGCCCGACCGCCTTTGTCTTCCTAGTGGCAATGTTTACACACCGCACCAGGTACTCATTTGAGGCTGAGTCGACCTAGGGGAGGCCCGGGACCGGTTCAGATAATCGTCACTGTTGGTGTTGGCCGTGAGCGGGAATCGAACCCGGGTCGCCAGGTTCATAGCGCAGCGTAGCGCTAACCGCTGCACCACCGCTCCCCACTACTTACATATACACACTCACTCATACAGACGTACTACTCACTCGTACATGCAGATTTACATGCATGGCTGAGTGAGTGAGTGTGCGTATGAGTGAGGAGCGGCAGTGTAGGGGTCAGCGCTACGCTACGCTACGAACCCGGCGACCCGGGTTCGATTCCCGCTCACGGCACAACACCAGCGACGGTTATCTGAACCGGTCCTGGGCCTCCCCTAGGTCGACTCGGCCTCAAATGAGTACCTGGTGCGGTGTGTAAAGAAACATCGCCACTGGTGGAGACGAAGGCGTTCGGGCGTCGTGCTAACCGTCCCAACCCCCCACCTCCGTGTACCATTCCAGGCCTTGCATAGGCCCTGCTTTGCTAGCAGCACTTGCCCCAACAGTCTGTTAGCGCTATACGTGGACCTTTTGTCTTTTGTGTACGCGAGTAAGTGGGCCGTTCGCGTGAGCGGGTGAGAGTGTGGACCTGCAGATTCCCCGCGGCGCTGGTTCTGGTACCGGGTTCTCTGTTTCCTGCTGGCCGTGAGCGGCGTTGCCGCCATACTGGCTGCACACGACCATTACAGCATAGACGTGCTGGCAGCGTACTACGTGACCACGCGCCTGCACTACACCTACCACGGCATGGCCACCACGGCCGTGAGTCGCCCGCTCGTGCAGTCGCTCAAGCAAACCCTTCCATTCACATACACACTCAGCCATTCATAAACTCATCCGTTCATATTCTCACTCAACCGGTTCATATACACACTCAACCGTTCATAAACTCACTCAACCATTCATATACACACTCAAACGTTCACATACACACTCAAACGTTCACATACACACTCAAACATTCACATACACACTCAACCATTCATAAACTCATCCATTCACATACACACTCAACCATTCATAAACTCATCCGTTCATATTCTCACTCAACCATTCATATACACACTCAACCGTTCATAAACTCACTCAACCATTCATATACACACTCAAACATTCACATACACACTCAAACGTTCACATACACACTCAAACATTCATATACACACTCAACCAATTCACATACGCACTCAAACATTCATATACACACTCAACCAATTCACATACACACTCAACCAATTCACATACACACTCAACCATTCACATACACACTCAAACGTTCACATACACACTCAACCGATTCACATACACACTCAACCATTCATAAACTCATCCATTCATATTCTCACTCAACCGGTTCATATTCTCACTCAACCGGTTCACATACACACTCAAACATTCATATACACACTCAAACGTTCATAAACTCACTCAACCATTCATATACACACTCAAACATTCATATACACACTCAAACATTCATATACACACTCAACCGATTCATATACACACTCAACCGATTCATATACACACTCAACCGTTCATAAACTCACTCAACCATTCATATACACACTCAAACATTCACATGCACACTCAAACATTCATATACACACTCAACCGATTCATATACACACTCAACCGATCCATATACACACTCAACCGTTCATAAACTCACTCAACCATTCATATACACACTCAAACATTCACATGCACACTCAAACATTCATATACACACTCAACCAACTCACATACACACTCAACCAATTCACATACACACTCAACCATTCACATACACACTCAACCATTCACATACACACTCAACCATTCACATACACACTCAACCATTCACATACACACTCAACCAATTCACATACACACTCAACCATTCACATACACACTCAAACGTTCACATACACACTCAACCGATTCACATACACACTCAACCATTCATAAACTCATCCATTCATATTCTCACTCAACCGGTTCATATTCTCACTCAACCGGTTCACATACACACTCAAACATTCATATACACACTCAAACGTTCATAAACTCACTCAACCATTCATATACACACTCAAACATTCATATACACACTCAAACATTCATATACACACTCAACCATTCATATACAGTACACACTCAACCATTCATATACCCACTCAACCATTCATATACCCACTCAATCATTCATATACACACTCAACCATTCATATACCCACTCAACCATTCATATACCCACTCAACCATTCATATACACACTCAACCATTCATATACACACTCAACCATTCATATACACACTCAACCATTCACATACACACTCAACCAATTCATATACAGTACACACTCAACCATTCATGTACCCACTCAAACATTCATATACACACTCAACCATTCATATACCCACTCAACCATTCATATACCCACTCAACCATTCATATACACACTCAACCATTCATATACACACTTAACCATTCATATACCCACTCAACCATTCATATACCCACTCAACCGATTCATATACCCACTCAACCATTCATATACCCACTCAACCAATTCATATACCCACTCAACCATTCATATACTCACTCAACCATTCATATACACACTAAACCGATTCATATACCCACTCAACCATTCATATACCCACTCCAACATTCATATACCCACACAACCATTCATTTACCCACTCAACCATTCATATACCCACTCAATCATTCATATACCCACTCAATCATGCATATACCCACTCAACCATTCATAAACTCAACCATTCATGAACTCAACCATTCATAAACTCAACCGTTCATATTCTCACTCAATCATTCATATACCCACTCAACCATTCATATACTCACTCAACCATTCATATAGTCACTCCACCATTCATATACCCACTCAACCATTCATATGCTCACTCAACCATTCATAAACTCACTCAACCATTCATAAACTCACTCAACCATTCATATACTCACTCAACCATTCATAAACTCACTCAACCATTCATATACTCACTCAACCATTCATAAACTCACTCATCCATTCATATACTCAATCGACCATTCATATTCTCACTCAACCATTCATATACTCACTCAACCATTCATATACCCACTCAACCATTCATAAACTTAACCATTCATATACTCACTCAACCATTTATATTTTCACCCAGCCATTCATATACTCACTCGACCATTCATAAACTCAACCATTCATATACTCACTCAACCCTTCATATACTCACCCAACCATACATATACTCACCCAACCATTCATATACTCACTCAACGATTAATATACCCACTCAACCATTCATAAACTCAACCATTCATATACTCACTCAACCATTCATATTCTCACTCAACCATTCATGTACCCACTCAACCATTCATATACCCACTCAACCATTCATATAACCACTCAACCAATCATAAACTCATCCATTCATATTCTCACTCAACCATTCATATACCCACTCAACTATTCATATACCCACTCAACCATTCATAAACTCAACCATTCATATACTCACTCAACCATTCATAAACTCACTCAACCATTCATAAACTCACTCAACCATTCATATACCCACTCAACCATTCATATACCCACTCAACCATTCATATGCTCACTCAACCATTCATAAACTCTTTCAACCATTCATAAACTCACTCAACCATTCATATACCCACTCAACTATTCATATACCCACTCAACCATTCATAAACTCAACCATTCATAAACTCACTCAACCATTCATATACCCACTAAACCATTCATATACCCACTCAACCATTCATATACCCACTCAACCATTCATATACCCACTCAACCATTCATATGCTCACTCAACCATTCATAAACTCTTTCAACCATTCATAAACTCACTCAACCATTCATATACCCACTCAACCATTCATAAACTCATCCATTCATATTCTCACTCAACCATTCATATACCCACTCAACCATTCATATACCCACTCAACCATTCATATGCTCACTCAACCATTCATATACCCACTCAACCATTCATATACCCACTCCAACATTCATATACCCACTCAACCATTCATTTACCCACTCAACCATTCATATACCCACTAAACCATTCATATACCAACTCAACCATTCATAAACTCATCCATTCATATTCTCACTCAACCATTCATATACCCACTCAACCATTCATATACCCACTCAACCATTCATATACCCACTCAACCATTCATATGCTCACTCAACCGATTCACATACACACTCAACCATTCATATACCCACTCAACCATTCATATACCCACTCAACCATTCATAAACTCAACCATTCATATACTCACTCAACCATTCATATTCTCACTCAACCATTCATGTACCCACTCAACCATTCATATACCCACTCAACCATTCATATACCCACTCAACCATTCATAAACTCAACCATTCATATACTCACTCAACCATTCATATTCTCACTCAACCATTCATGTACCCACTCAACCATTCATATACCCACTCAACCATTCATATACCCACTCAACCAATCATAAACTCATCCATTCATATTCTCACTCAACCATTCATATACCCACTCAACTATTCATATACCCACTCAACCATTCATAAACTCAACCATTCATATACTCACTCAACCATTCATAAACTCACTCAACCATTCATAAACTCACTCAACCATTCATATACCCACTCAACCATTCATATACCCACTCAACCATTCATATGCTCACTCAACCATTCATAAACTCTTTCAACCATTCATAAACTCACTCAACCATTCATATACCCACTAAACCATTCATATACCCCCTCAACCATTCATATACCTACTCAACCATTCATATACCCACTCAACCATTCATATGCTCACTCAACCATTCATAAACTCTTTCAACCATTCATAAACTCACTCAACCATTCATATACCCACTCAACCATTCATAAACTCATCCATTCATATTCTCACTCAACCATTCATATACCCACTCAACCATTCATATACCCACTCAACCATTCATATACCCACTCAACCATTCATATGCTCACTCAACCATTCATATACCCACTCAACCATTCATATACCCACTCCAACATTCATATACCCACTCAACCATTCATTTACCCACTCAACCATTCATATACCCACTAAACCATTCATATACCAACTCAACCATTCATAAACTCATCCATTCATATTCTCACTCAACCATTCATATACCCACTCAATCATTCATATAACCACTCAACCATTCATATACCCACTCAACCATTCATATGCTCACTCAACCGATTCACATACACACTCAACCATTCATATACCCACTCAACCATTCATATACCCACTCCAACATTCATATACCCACTCAACTATTCATATACCCACTCTACCATTCATAAACTCAACCATTCATATACTCACTCAACCATTCATATACTCACTCCACCATTCATATACCCACTCAACCATTCATAAACTCACTCAACCATTCATATACTCACTCAACCATTCATAAACTCACTCATCCATTCATATACTCAATCGACCATTCATATACTCACTCGACCATTCATATACTCACTCGACCATTCATATTCTCACTCGACCATTCATATTCTCACTCAACCATTCATAAACTCAACCATTCATATACTCACTCAACCATTCATATACTCACCCATTCATTCATATACTCACTCGACCATTCATAAACTCAACCATTCATATACTCACCCAACCATTTATATACTCACCCAACCATTCATATTTTCACTCAACCATTCATGAACTCAACCATTCATATACTCACTCAACCATTCATATACTCACCCAACCATTCATATACTCACCCAACCATTCATATACTCACTCAACCATTAATATTCTCACTCAACCATTCATAAACTCAACCATTCATATACTCACTCAAACATTCATATTCTCACTCAACCATTCATAAACTCAACCATTCATATACTCACTGAACCATTCATATTCTAACTCAACTATTCATAAACTCAACCATTCACATACTCACTCAACCATTGATATTCTCACTCAACCATTCATAAACTCAACCATTCATAAACTCAACCGTTCATAAACTGAACCGTTCATAAATTCACTCGACCATTCATATACTCGGTCAACTGTTTATTCAAACACTCACTCAACCAATCACTCGCATACACATCCACCACCCGTCAGCTGCATGAGTCACAATCCTGGACCTCACCCCATTTCTCCTCGGTATCCGGAGGAGGAGGGGGTGGGGGGTGGGACGATGACAACCCCAGCTGCAAGCGATGATTCGATTCTCGTTTGCAACCTTCGTCAGCAGTGAGCCAAGACCAGGCCACCGTGGGCTGTGAGTGGGGTCATAGGTGGATGCCCACTACCACAGTGGCGGAATGGCACCTTCTTGCATATGACCAGGTGATGGTAAGTGGTCAGATCAGCTCCGACGGTAGGTCCTGCTGTCAAGGACATGGGCCCGCATTCGCTCTTCTGGGACTGCGGTCCAGCAGATGTTCATTGCTTGGACCTGGCCTGCATCCGCGATGTTGTGCGGATGCGCCGACGCTAGATGAACGTGTTGGTGATTCCATGATATGAATATAACTTTGTCGCTTTTATGCGATCTAACCCAAAAACAACTATATTATGTATGATATTGGTCGCGAAAGCCTACGTGTTAAACTCTGTTTGTGCTTACAAGAGCCCATGGGCTGCAGAGAAGTCGAACAGCCTTCTGGCATTATTGAGTTGGTCTGCCCCATGCCTGCAGATTACTCCAGCCCAATGTGCCTGCACCATGACCCTCTCGGGCATTAAAGTCACCGAACAGGATGACTTTATCCCAAGGGGCCGTTTTCGCCAGGACCTGGGACAGGAGGTCATAGAAGCCATCTGACTCATCAGCCTTGCCTGCATCCCTCCACTAATGTGCATCTTTGATCGGCGCATAAGCCACCGCCACCACCACCACCACAATTCGTCGCTTCTCATTGTTGCGGAGGCAATGTTTACCAGGTACTCATTTTGAGGCCGAGTCTACCTAGAGGAGGCCCAGGACCGGTTCAGATAATTGTCACTGGGTGTCGGTGGCCGCGAGCGGGAATCGAACTCCGGTCGCCGGGTTCGTAGCGCAGCGCGCTAACCATTTCGCCACCACTCAATCAATACATAGACACAATCAATACGCCACACATCGACACAAACGCACGTAGCCACTCGCACGCTCGCACGCTCTCACCCGTTTGCACCGTAATTTACCCACACACTCCCCCCACCCCTCCTCCTCCTCCTCCTCGCTTTGCCTCAGGATCTCAAGTCGCGGGAATCTGGGAACTGGTTCAGGAAGCTTTGGTGGTTCCGCATCTTCCTCCTGCTGGAGGGAAACGTCCCCACCAGCGTTCCCCTGCGCTTCTCCCTGCCCATGCTGAGCGCGGGGAGGGACGAGAGGTACTCGCGCGTGGAGATGGCTTGAGGCAGGCGCGAGGAGCAGAGACGGCCGCGGTGGAAGAAGCGGGGAAGGGAGGTGCGGAGATGGGAAGACGCGCGGAGGAGACGCGGCTCCTTCCGCTTGCAGAAGGAGCCGCGGAGATGGACGTAGGTGATGCAGTAACACCCCGTGACCTCGCCGCGTCCTGACTGAAGTCGCGCATCGTAAGCCCTGGCCCTGCTGGGCCCTGAGACAGGGCCACCCACCTCAAGCGTGGTTCCGGTTCAGCCTGGCAAAGAGAGTTTGCGTGGCCGCACGTGCCGTGAGGCACCTGGGCTGGGTCGGCTCACCCACGCGGCAGTGGAAAAGCGGACACTGAGATATGACCGTTGTGTGCGTCAGTGCTGTGGGTGGACATCTTTAGACATCTGGACGTCTGTGAAAGTTAGAGCTTCGTAGCTCATCGGATTCCGTCCAGGATAAAGATGATGATTTTGGCTAAACCCTAATACTGCCCCGAACGTGAACAATAGGCCTATCCCTAACCATGACATTAGCCTAACCATGTCTTCACTGTAGTGCTATCCACAACTCTAGCCCTACCACCGACTTTTGCCGTACCAGTTTAACAAGCAGGTGGCTTTCGCGACGAATGTCATCCATAAGAGAGTTTTTTTGGGTTCGCGTAAATATATAAATGTGTCGTTAAACCCGCCACCACCCGACACAGCCAATTTAGTAAGGTTAGTCTCACGTAAACAGAACGTGGCCAATTCGTTACTTGTACAGCACACACCGGTTGTGTGTTCGAGAGCAAAGCCCCAAAATTTACTGAATGTTGTGACAAACCTTAATAATCTTCTTTGGTTCTTTCGGTAAAGTCACCACGTAGAATGAGAATAAAATAATAAAATAAGACAATAAAATTCTCACGACGTTTCGGCCACAACACAAGTAGCCTTCATCAGGTGAAGGAACAGAACTGTCGGGACGACAGTGCTTCAGTTGTCGTCCCGACAGTCCCGACAGTTTTTGTTCTTTCACCTGATGAAGGCTACTTGTGTTGTGGCCGAAACGTCGTGAGAATTTTATCGTCTTATTTAATTATTTTATTCTCATTCTACGTGGTGACTTTACCGAAAGAACCAAAGAAGATGAATCCTTTCAGTCACGAAAGCTTTAAATCGAAATTTAAACCTTAATAAATTGGCTGTGGCGGGTTTTCACGACACATTTATCTAATTCCGCGATGCCACCCAAACAAAACCTGTATTTAACCATATCGTTGACTCTCACCATGTCACGGACTCCCGCCCGAACACTACGCTTACCCTGCCATTGACTCTCGCCCTCACCGCAACCCGAGAACCTCCCTCGCGTTTGCTGGCGATAGTCAGCGGAGACGGTGACGGTGAAGACGTTGAATGTGACGAGGACCACCTTGGCGGCGAGGAGAACATGTTACGTTTATTGTAGCGTCGACGACGAAGTTTACAATGTGCCCATTGCAGTGCAACAAGTAGATTGTGTCTCTCCCAACTTCCTCTTGGAAACGCTGTCCTGATACCGATGTTACATTTTAGTACCTGTTTATACTACGTGATAATAGCGGTGATGGTGGTGATGATGTTTAATAAAAGTGGTATTGTCAGCAGGAGTGTGTGTGTGTGTGCGCATGACGGGTGCGTGCGTGGTTGTGGTGGTGCTTGAGCGATGGGGCAGTTGCGGAGAGAGTGGAGAATTTTCCATACCTGGGCAGTGTGCTTATGACCAGCTCTGGTTTTAACAGCAGAGGTCTCATTCCAAATCATTCGGGCAGCGTTATCCTTTCATCGGCTGCGTAACGCTGTGTAGGAGCTACCTGGTCTGCCGCGCCACACGAAGCTGCTCCGGGTCTTATCGACCAGTCATGCCCTCCCTTCTCTGCGCCTGTAAAACGTGGACCCCCCCCTCGAATGGAACATCTGCACCGGTTAGAAACATTCAGGCTGGACTGCCTATGATCCATCCTCGGTTTTAACCAGGCTGGATTTTGTATAAGGAGCTCACAAATCCTTGAAAGATCTGGACATCTTCATTAGTGAGCTCCTCTGGCAATCAGGACTGCATTGGCTAGGTCAGATAGCCCGCATGCCCAACCACCGCATGCCCAAACAGCTGTACGGGTGCTTTGGATTACGAGCACGTTTCCGGAACGAATTATGCTCGCAATCCAAGGTTTCACTGTACACGTACTGCTCGTGTTGCAAGACCTCGGCTCGTTTATCAAATTATTTACTTAAACATTTTTGCTCATCTTGCAAAACACTCGCAGACCAAGTATAGTAATAGGTTTTTACCCTTTTAACTGGCACAAAAAACTGACACCTTTATTCAAGGCATCATGTCTGCAATAACCACAACACAAGCAGTGAAAATGCAAACAAAAGAGACAACTCTGATAATAATATGCGCTGTCCTTGAATTTGATTGGTCCACACCCGAGACGGCTTTCTTTAGTCTCCACTGGTGTTGGACCAGAAGACGACAAAAGGCGTACAACTCAAAAACAGCGCACTATCAGAGTATTGAGGGCTCGGGGTGAGCATTTACATTATGAGACCTCCTTTGCCAGGAACAAGATTTAGTAATATGTTTTACCCTTTTAACTGGCTTTAACTGTGTTGTGGTTATTGCAGACATGATGCCTTGAATAAAGGTGTCAGTTTTTTGTGCCAGTTAAAAGGGTAAAACCTATTACTATATCTTGTTCCTGGCAAAGGGGGTCTGATAATGTAAATACTCGCAGACCAAGTTACTCGCAATCCAAGGTTTCACTGGATACGCTTTGTCTGCCGAGCGTCACGTGATCACAACTGATATATTACGAGTGCTTTGATATACGAGTGCTTTGGATTACAAACACGTTTTCGGAACGAATTACGCTCGCGATCCAAGGTTGTACTGCATAGGGGGCTAAACAGGCGCGAGACGGGTTGGAAAAGAGATGTATGTGGTACAGGAGGATATGGAGGTGGCCTGGCACAAGCGTCGTGGTGACGTCACCGCCACTTAGTGGCGAATGGCGGTTGTTGTTCTTATGGAAGTGAGTGGACTTTCCTTACCACTGACTTTTTGCATAGCAGTTTAACACGTAGGCTTTTGCGACCAATATCATCCATAATACATGGGGGTTTTTTTTTCGTTGGTTAGATCGCGTAAATATATAAACGTGTTGTCAAACCCACCAACGCCTGACACAGCCAATTTATCAAATTTGGTTCTTTCGGTAAAGTCACGTAGAATGAGAATAAAATAATAAAATAAAACAATGAAATTCTCACAACGTTTCGGCCACAACACAAGTAGCCTTCATCAGGTGAAAGAACAGAACTGTCGGGACGACAGTGCTGTCTTCTGGACAGGCCTGTTTCTTCACCTGAGGAAGGCTACTTGTGTTGTGGCCGAAACGTCGTGAGAATTTCATTGTTTTATTTTATTATTTTATTCTCATTCTACGTGACTTTACCGAAAGAACCAAAGAAGATGAATCCTTGCAGTCACGAAAGCTTTAAATCGAAATTTAACAGCCAATTTAGTAAGGATTGTTACCTAAACAGAACGTGCAAATTCGTTACTAGTACAGCACACAGGTCGCGTGTTGGTGAGCAAAGCCACAACAATTATCCACACTTGATCCACACTTGATCCACACTTGATCCGTGTTCGAGGATTGATCAAGCGTGGATCAAGCCTGTCATGTTTTGAATAAAAACAATTTTTTGTACCGTTGAACTGATTCCTGTCACGTGATTTCTGCATCCAGAGAGGCGATTTGTGGATCGAGAACGCCAGCCCACATTGGGCCGCCCCTTGACGCAGATTGGCTTCCCGTTGCGTCAACGTACATTCGTCGTTCATCCCGTCGCATTATCGACCCGCAAACCGTCTCTTGGAACGCGGAAGTCGCGTGACAGGAATCGCTTGAACGGTGTGTGCTTAAATATTGCTCACGAACGCGCTCGACATCACCATCGATAAACTCAACGCATTTCGTCGACAAAGCATGACCCTTAATGATCTTTTGTTTTAAATAACGCACGCACGCACGCAGGCATTGCAGGGCAACGTTTTACGGGCAACGGATACTTCCGTCCAAAACCAGCGGCTCGTCGCTTTTAACAGCTGGGGGATGACTTTGTGCAGCCGAGTGGCCGGGTCTGTGTGTGACCTCGTCCCACTGGTGGTGGTGGAGGTGGTGGAGGTGAGAATGGAACCCAAACCCTGGGAGGAGGAGCAGGCGGAAGCAGATTTGGCCTCGCCAGCTAAATAACTTGGCCAGCATGGAGGCGCGCTCCATAACCTAACTAAACATGCTCCCATAGACTGCAATGTGTAATCCTCCCATGTACTTAAGTGTTAAAAGCTCCAATATACTTCAATGTTAAGGGCTGCCATAGACTTCAATGGTAAATCCTCCCACATACTCAAATGTGAAATGCTCCCATAGACTTCAATGTTAAAGGCTCCCATAGACTTCAATGTTAAATGCTCCCATAGACTTCAATGTTAAAGGCTCCCATAGACTTCAATGTTAAAGGCTCCCATAGACTTCAATGTTAAAGGCTGCCATAGACTTCAATGTTAAATCCTCCCATATACTTAAATGTTCCCATAGACTTCAGTGTTAAATGCTCCCATAGACTTCAATGTTAAAGGCTCCCATAGACTTCAATGTTAAAGGCTCCCATAGATTTCAATGTTAAAGGATCCCATAGACTTCAATGTTAAAGGCTCCCATAGACTTCAATGTTAAAGGATCCCATAGATTTCAATGTTAAAGGATCCCATAGACTTCAATGTTAAAGGCTCCCATAGACTTCAATGTTAAAGGCTCCCATAGACTTCAATGTTAAAGGCTGCCATAGACTTCAATGTTAAAGGCTCCCATAGACTTCAATGTTAAAGGCTCCCATAGACTTCAATGTTAAAGGCTCCCATAGACTTCAATGTTAAAGGCTCCCATAGACTTCAATGTTAAAGGCTCCCATAGACTTCAATGTTAAAGGCTGCCATAGACTTCAATGTTAAAGGCTCCCATAGACTTCAATGTTAAAGGATCCCATAGACTTCAATGTTAAAGGCTCCCATAGACTTCAATGTTAAAGGCTCCCATAGACTTCAATGTTAAAGGCTGCCATAGACTTCAATGTTAAATCCTCCCATATACTTAAATGTTCCCATAGACTTCAGTGTTAAATGCTCCCATAGACTTCAATGTTAAAGGCTCCCATAGACTTCAATGTTAAAGGCTCCCATAGATTTCAATGTTAAAGGATCCATAGACTTCAATGTTAAAGGCTCCCATAGACTTCAATGGTAAAGGCTCCCATAGACTTCAATGTTAAAGGCTGCCATAGACTTCAATGTTAAAGGCTCCCATAGACTTCAATGTTAAAGGCTCCCATAGACTTCAATGTTAAAGGCTCCCATAGACTTCAATGTTAAAGGCTCCCATAGACTTCAATGTTAAAGGATCCCATAGACTTCAATGTTAAAGGCTCCCATAGACTTCAATGTTAAAGGCTCCCATAGACTTCAATGTTAAAGGCTCCCATAGACTTCAATGTTAAAGGCTCCCATAGACTTAAATGTTAAAGGCTGCCATAGACTTCAATGTTAAAGGCTCCCATAGACTTCAATGTTAAAGGCTCCCATAGACTTCAATGTTAAAGGATCCCATAGACTTCAATGTTAAAGGCTCCCATAGACTTCAATGGTAAAGGCTCCCATAGACTTCAATGTTAAAGGCTGCCATAGACTTCAATGTTAAAGGCTCCCATAGACTTCAATGTTAAAGGCTCCCATAGACTTCAATGTTAAAGGCTCCCATAGAGGTAATATAATATTAGCTATCATTTGTAGCCAGGTCCCTTCTGCAAAAAGAGATATATAGCTCAGTGTGCCTTGCCTGGTAAAATA